AAGGCGTGACTCGAAAAAATGGTTCGGGACTCTTCGACTCAGTTTTTCATGAGAAATATCACTATATAAATGGTGGGCGCGAATTAGAATACACCCTGTATATTAACGTAAAACGGGAGTGATTTGGATCCATTGAATATCCTGTAGCGAACATCCGACGGATGTCCCAAATAGGACGTACATTGGACATCCATAATTCGCCCATAGAAGTCAGATATAAAATGGATATGTTTTGGACATCTTAAGGACGTCCCATGAATATCCACAAATGGACGTCGTTAGGACATAACATGTCCACATGTTCATAACATGTCCACGGACGTACCGACATAAAACGGACATATGATTCAGACGTCTGATGGACGTCTTGTGCTATGTGGGTTATCGATGTGTGAAATCGTTAGGTTCGTGTTTTACTGACGGTGTTTCATGGTTGTGTTTGTATATATGTGACGTGATGTGTAAGAGTCATTTCCAATGAGAAGTGTGATTGGTAATTAAGCCGAGCAAATAGCTTTTGTATTGTCCTCATGTGGTTTCAACCAATCTTTAAAAATATCCATACCTAACCAGGCACGTTGGAATATTTTGGCTGGCTTCCTCTTCTCCTCGATGCCGTTTGTCGAAGGCTCTTGAAGATCCATTGCACTTTCTTCTTATTGCACATTATTTAAAAATTAAACCACCCAACACTACATATACGTATGCTATTTTAAAACATCTAACTTCTAAGGCATAAGAAACGCGGGAATACGGACAGACGCGGACGGCAGAATTTATCGCGCATGAGCGGGATGAGCGGGATCCCTTATAACTATCCGTCAGTGGAAATAGCTGCTACGTCATTTCACACATGCGCATAAGGACTCCTGTCGGGAGAAAAGTTTCCCGATCCCCCATCACTGCCACAAAGTGACCAAGCCCGTATATACGAGAAACAGTCTAAACTCTGTCGCTTTCCAGCGATCCAATTCATCCAAACCTCTTCGTTTTCTAGAAAATTCTTTAGGTATGTATGGTATTAACAGCTTCAAATCTGTACACAATTGATTTATTTGAGAAGCACGCAATTTAATATCCTTTATTCCTTTAATCCACAATTTTGCAAGTCTTTTCATGACACCAAGACAAACAAGATGCATATAATCCTAGGGAAACTGTGTAACCATTTTCAATGCTATGTTTTCGATAGGTGAATCATTCACATGATGATCTTCATTGTGTCGTAATAAAAAACTTTCATCCGTACGTAATGGAGCGTTTTCATTGAGAAATAACATTCGATTATCCCTCCATTCACCTTCCTCTTCACATTTGTCGCATCCATAATATCCTGTATGACCTTTAATGCATTTTATGACTGCTTTTGCAGGAGCATCGCATATTACAGCATTTATCACAATTTTGATTTTTTTTCTCCATACTGAAATACATTATTTTGAATGTCATTATATTCTTCAATAAATTCATGAATGATTTCATCAGGTTTGCTCGGTTTACAATATCCATGAAATACTCCAATGACAAATGGTTTTTCTCTATAATCACTGTGAGTAATGTGACCTAAAAGTGGCCAAAACTGTGCTTTTGAACTTTTTGCCAATGGTAATCCGTCAATGCTCAAATTGAGTTTTATTTGATTTTCAGTTGGTTCATACACAGGTTGTTTTTGGAGTTTCTAACAATGTTCGTGCATCACAAGGTGTCTGTGTTAGTCTTACA